GTCCAGACCCGAAATGTCAGCTTTCCTGCTCCTCTGACGCTGCTTGGCCTGCTGTGTTCATCCAGCTCTACACCTTGTTATCTCAGATTCTCCAGCATCGGCAGTTCCTACTATCTCTGAATCACCTGCCTTTAAGATCCTTCTCAAACCTTCACCACACATTCTAGTGACATCTCCGAACTTGCCTCTCAAAGGCTCAATATCTTTTGCGACTGCTTCTACACTTAGGATGCCTTATAAATACAGGTTGTATTTCATCCCTGTACAACATGTACGGTACACTAAAACTGGAGTACAGGATGGCTCATTTGGTTATTTAATCACTGTAAACAGTTGAGTAAAACAAAACCCCAGAAACGCCGTCCTTCCTTAACCTGGTGAATGGCTGCATTGATCACAGTTGGTGACCTAAGCTAGATATCAGTGAGTAACCCAGATGTAAGTCAATCATTGGCCTTTAGGGAGACATGAAAGTTGGGGTGCGAGGTGTGCAACATTTGCTGTTTATTTAAAAGACATCACAGGGTGATTTACAAAGTCTCAGCATGAAAAATATGGAGTGCATCAAAGTGGATGAGTAGAGTGGAGGGTTTACTCTCCTCTCAGGATCATCAGCCCCAGATAGAAGAAATGTGGAGAAGGAACAAATTCCCAGGCTCCTCTCTCTCTCTCTTCCCAAAATGTCTCTCCATCCAAAGTTCTGTTTTGGATCTGCCTAAATGACAGACGAGATTACGGATGCCCAGCGGAGAAAAAGCACCAAGTCTAGATAACTTTGACACAAGTTGTTGAGTATTTATAAGAGGTGATAAGACATGGAGTCCTCAGTTGGAATAGCATTTTATTACAGGATTAAAACCAGGTGGGATAACAATCATGTTACTGTCCTATTGTAACGTCAAGTGCATTATTAGTCTACGATACAATCACAAATGATTCATTATGTAGTTTTTGCACCATGATATAACAGATAGGCTACATTCCAAACAGCTCACCAAACATCACCAAAGAACTGACATGATTGTTTGCATCAGGACTCCCCACTTTAGTATCAACTCTGGAAGAATTTGCTGCTATGCACAACTCATGTCTGCCTTCCGAATGATTTACACTTAAAACACCGGTAAATTTGGCGATAATTCCAGTCGATGTTCTATGATAAAAGCGTGGCAGGTATGCACTTGAATCTGGGACTGCCACCTTCCCCTTTTTATTTATATTTTCAGAGACATCGTGACAATCATGTTCATTAAAAATCCCAGAAGGCTGAACGGGCTGCGAGTGCTGGTTTTAAAAAAAAAAGGACCATCGTGATTGTTGCTGAGCTGGGCAGGGACCGTTGTTCCCCGAAACCCAGTCATTTGAAGAGCCCATCATCTATACCCTAAACTCATAGGCAAGCAACATCTTAGTGTCAGCTTTTACTTGTTCATGTGCTCTTGGTGGATCCCAGCAGCTCCATGGAGAGCTCGGATTTTCCTGTGACCCTGCACCCTGTTGCATTTGAAACAGGCGCGGGCCAATTCTCGCAGGCTTTTCATATCCTTCTAACAAAGCCACAACATCAATTTTAAACAACGGGGTGCTTTGGCAGCTCAGTTTTCCTCTCATGCAAGTAGCATCATCCGGTTCGTACAGGCCCTTCAAGGCATGTTGTCCTATTTCTCACCTGAAATGATTCCACAAATGTGGACAAAGGAAATGCATACTCTATGCAAAATATCTATATAAAAGATGCCATTGGTGATCAGCAAGTTCATCCCTAAATACAGTTATTACTACATATTATATACATTAGAGTGGTATTTATTGTACCAGCATAAACTGCAGCTCAACAGAGTCATCCTACAGTGGACTGAAAGATCATAGATGCTTTCCTAATTATGTGCCGAAGGTATTACAAATGTAACTAAGCGACTCTCAGGGTTTTTATTTTCCAATGTGAATACCAGTGAGGGTTGGTTAACCCTCGTCCCTCTCCCACTTGTCCATGGAGCCATCCGTCCCACAGAACGCGCTCTGTCTGCTCCATCCTGGTTCAAAGAAAGAAAATGAGACACTGTGAACCAGAGGATAAAATATCCTATGACCACTGGCAGATCCTGGCTCACTTCCTGCTGAGGGTGATTTTCACATAAGAGGTGGGTACATAGCCTTCCTCTCCGTCGCTCCGCCTCACCCGGGTCCATCCATCGCCTTTGTCCTCCTCAATCAGTTGAAGCACCTCTCCCTCTGCCATTGGAATGGTGCCTTCGCTGTTACCTGCAAGGTACAGACCAGAGTGTTAACTCACTGTTTTGCCTGCACAGCCCTTCAACATGCACGTCCATGTGTTTGGGAGCTAGGAATGGAGCGGCTGTAGGCCACTCATTCTATCAAGCCCACTCCTGCACTCAATCTGATCATGGCTGATCATCTATATCAACACATTTCCACATCATGTGTCCAGAAATTTCTTGATGTTAAGGACAACCTCCATTCAGACTCTCAGAGTTCAATTACAATTACAAAGTTACGAACCAGTGATGTGGTTGGAGTGAGAAAGTAGAAATGGTATCTTAGCGGATACCATTCCCCTCGGAGTTAAAAGGTTATGGGTTTCAGTCCCACTTGAAGCTTGAGTGCAAACTCTAGGCTGCCGCCCCTAGTGCAGTACTGATGGAGTGCTGCCTTTGGACTAGCCTTTAAACTGAGGTCCAACTCTCCCTTCAGATGGACTTAAAGAATCTCCTGGCACAACTGAAAAAAAAAAATTGGAGCAGAAAAGTTTTTACACTTCAACCAACATCACTGAAATAAAAGAGACTATCTGGTCACAATCACACTACTATCGATGGGAGCTCATTGCACACAAAATAGCTGTAACGTTTCCTACATTACAAACTGATAATACTCTCAGAACAAACACAAGTTCTAAAATGCTTTGGGATATCCTGAGGGTTGAGAAAGGCACCATACAAATGCAGCATTTCTTTATGTTCAAGAGAAAACAACAGAGCTCCCCACCGAGGCTGAATGGTGAAGTGTGCCATAACATTCTGGAATTGAGCTACTCAATGATCAATGCCAAATGATCAGATTGAGTCATAGCTAGCATCGGTGTGCCTTTGAGATAATCTCAAGGATGGCGTGCTGATGGAGGGGTTCAGATTTCTGCTCTAGTTTGCTACCCGAATATAAATACAATTAGACGGTGACCCAAACACAACATCTTTGGTGAGCACACAAAGACTGGTAACTTGGACTGGGCTGTTGGGAGAGTTGCCTGATTAAACTATTTTGAGTCAATGGACGGAAAAGAGGAACAAAGAAATGGGAAAAAGCTCTCTGTCTCTCTCTCACACACACACACAGCTTCTGAACTCATTGCTGCAGTTGGGTAAGTTACAAATATTTGATTAGTGTGGAAAACCATTCTCAGTCTGGGTTAGGGCAGAGGGGATGGGAGTGGGAGACACACTGTCAAGCATTGATTTGGTTCCATGAGCAATCCTGCAGTGAATTCAATTCTAGCTACTGTGCACAAATTTGATTTTACACAGATGAATGTTCGATATGTGGTTCACTGTCAACTCATGACCTTGTCTAATATTTGCATAACGATTAAACATCTAAAGTAGGACTTTCTGAACAGACAGAATCTCATTAGGAATAATTCAATGCTGGGAGACTAGGTGCTTGTGATGGACATCAATGTGTGGAAGTCACTCTTTATACAGAAGGTAGTGGTGACAAAGCGCATCGAGATGGGGAAGGTGGACACGGATGCTGTGGCATATGGAGGAGAAACAAGAACCAGGGTGGAGAACTGAGTAGTATTGCGTTCTGTAACTAGTGTCAATATCTAAAACAGACTGCACTTTGTATTCAGCAAATTAGAAATCTGGTCTCTGCCTCTTATAACCTTGTAGATTTTTAATATTGGGTCACATTTTAAATCTTAAGTATCACTTAGATAGAGCTCCCAAATAAAAAGGATTGCATTCAGATATGACCCCTCGGTAGCAGGTTTTGCTCAAAGATGAAGGTTCAGTGTTCATTTTCCCAGCAACGTCACTTCTGTCTCAGTTGTTTCAGGAAGGCAGTCCATCTTACCGTCAAATGGATATAGAGCAGTTGAGCTTCCTATTGGATTGGCAAGATCGTCCTCAAAATCATCAAACTCTGAGACGGGAGATGGCTGCACCAATGGTTCCTGGCCACTATCATCAGAATAAGTTGTGTCTGGACTGGTTTAGGAAGAAAAGGACCAAACAAGATTTAAAACCAATTCTGAATTCAAATCCCAGGTGTCAACCACACATTATGGGTAAGTCCCCGTATCATACGGGCCTGTGTTCAATACTTATTGCCCTCAGATTAACTCTGACAATGTACTCCTGGCTGGCCACACATCTTACCCCATGTAAACAGGAGGTCATTCAAGACTCTGTTGCCCATGTCTGAAGTAGCAGAAAATCTAGGCTTACACTGCAAATGTCTGTGGGATACTGAGGGAGTGCTGCACTGTCTGAGATGTCACCTTTCGGGCAATGAAGCCCTATTTGCCCTCTACAGACACTCAGCAGTACTCCTGTGCCATTCTGTACAACCCTTTAGGGCATTTATCATAGAATCATAGAATTCCTATGGTGTGGAAGCAGGCCATTCGGCCCATCAAGTCCCTCTGAAGAGCATCCCTGTAACATTGCTTTTCCCACTTCCACCTAACCTGCACATCCCTGAACACTATGGGGGCAATTTAGCATGGCCAGTCCACCCTAATCTGCACATCTTTGGACTGTGGGAGGAAACCGGAGCACCCGAGGAAATCCGCACAGACACGGGAAGAATGTCCAAACCCCACACAGACAGTTGCCCAAGGCTGGAACTGAACCCAGGTCCTTGGTGCGGTGAGGCAGCAGTGCTAACCACTGAGCCACCGTGCCGCCCAAAAGCTGCTCTAGGTATGGCTCGAACTCACAACCCCAGTATTGCACATGCCTCTTTACAATCATCTAAATACCATGCTCTGGGATCTGGACACTTCTTTTTCTTGCTAACCTTTTGACTCTTAAATCTCTTAATTCTGGTTTTTGTAACCAAGTGGGCACCAGTGAATGGCGACTTTGTGCACTCTTCACTGTACTTATGTATTCCTATACTTCGTACATGTGACAAATAAATCTAAATCTAAATCTAAATAAATCTAAATTCTGCCATGTGGTTAGATAAATCATCCAAACAAACCAGAATTAGCTACAATTAGCTCTTGAACCTAAATAGGACTCACTGGTGCAAAGGGAGCACATACCTGACTAGGAACTGATACAACATTGCCTGAAGGATAGGAAACAGTGCAATGGTTAATGTGTATTTTTCAGACCGAAAGGTTTATAGTGGAGCTCCCCAAGGATCGATATCGGGTCCCTTGCTTTTCCTGAATATAAATGATCTAGATCTTGCATTGCAGGGGATAGATTACAAGTTTGCAGATGGCACAAAACTTCACAGAAGTGTAAACTTTGAGGTGGACAGTTTTAACCTAAAAAAGGGGCATTGACAGAGTGGGATAGATGGGAGATGAAGTTCATCGTGGATGACTTTGAGGGATGCACTTTGGTGCAAAGAACGCGGGGAGACAATATAAAACAAAGGGTACGATTCATTAAGAGGTGACAGGACAGACAGAGAGAGATGTCAATGCAACATACAGTATTCTGGGTTTAATTGGGGGCATTGAGTACAATAGCAAGGAGGTTATGATAAACTTCAGATCCATGTTAGATCTCAGCTGAGCTACTGTGTATAGCTTTAGGTGCCACACAATAGGAAAGACGTGAATACATAGGAGAGATTGCAGGAGAGGTTTACACGAATGGGCCCACGGAGAGGAGAAGGGCAAGAGGAGATTGGATAGAAGTTCTCAAAATCATGAGATTGGGTACAGCAAAATGTTCCCACTCCTAAACAAAATCGAGAACCAGACAGCACAGAATTTCTGAAGAAGGGTCCCGACCCGAAACGTCAGCTTTCCTGCTCCTCTGATGCTGCCTGGCCTGCTGTGTTCATCCAGCTCCACACTGCGTTATCCTAGCACAGAATTAAAGCCTTTTGCAAAAGAAGCAAATGTGACGGGAGAAAAAAAAACTTTTTTCAAAACAGTGAGTGATTACGTTCTGGAATGCACTGCCTGGAAACGTGGTGGAGGCAGGTTCAACGGAGGTATTCAAGAGGGGCATTGGATAATAATGTAAAGAGAAACAACGTGCAGGGTTATGGGGAAAAAGGCAGGAAATCAGCACCAAGTGAAAGCGCTCAGAGAGCTAATGCAGACACCATGGGCCAAATGAACTGCTTCTGGATTGTAACACTTCTGTGATTCTGCAATTACTGCGGGGGAGTTGGAAACAGCATTACTTAAGAGTTTGATTAGGTCACGAATCTGACTTGGCACTGGTTTGCACAGCAACAACGGGCGGAGATGAGTTGCATTTACTGGCCTAAACAAGTAGAGGGTTTGGAATAAATGACTTAAATTGTCACGAATGAATGGAAATCAGGAGAACTATCCAAGGAACTCACTTACCTCTCTTTATCATGTGACCCATTGTTATTCAAGGAGGGAGAACGCTCACAGTGGGGAGTGTACTGCACAAAGCTGTCATTACGTGAAACCAGTTTTGCTTCTGCATCAGCCAGCCATATCTTCAAAACAAAACCAAACACCAATTGCACCATATCTTTTGCATGCATAGAATCAAAGTACTGTGGATGCTTGAGATCTGAAATAACAACGGAAAGGGCTGGAAAATCTCAGCAGTGTGGAGAGAAACCAGGGTTAATGCTTTCAGTCCAATATCACTCTTCCAACTCTGAAAAATATAAGAGTTATAGTGGACGCAAAACATTAACTATTTGTCTCCCCACAGATGCTGCCAGAACTGGTGAATTTCTCCAGCTTTTTCTGTTATCATCGTTTACATCTTACACTTTTCTCTCATCCTTTACTGTTACCTCTCCCACCTGATTCCCTAGCTGATTGGATCACTAAGGCAGGTCTGTGCCACTGTTGCTCGGATTGTGTTTCACTTGAGGAGGTGCACCTTCCTCACAGGGAAACAGAACGGAACTCCCGAACTAAATCAGAAAGCCGTACTTTGCTGGCACACTATGGCGAAATCTCTTGGGGCTGTTTTAAGGGTTAGTTTTGCGGCCTTTAGATAAGAGATTATCAGAAGCCCAACTCCGAACCATAAATGCCACCTCACATTTGCCAAATATTAATTATTCCTGTTGAGATTTCTCTATCACTGCTGATCTGGGTTTCAAGCACTCCCACTTCCCAAAGAAGTAAACTACACGTTCTTACCTCATACTTCTGAATCTCACCCCGTAGTCTGTCAATCTGTTGATTTGTCTCCATTATTCTGGGCTCAAGGCTGTTTGGGTCACCCATCTGTGGGTTCCGTTGATAAACGTCTTTCATCTTATCTAAAGCTTCACTGAGAGCAAATAAAGGCAGAACATTAACCCTCCATATCGACTCCTAGCCATATGTACAAAACATAAACCAGATGTTGGAACCAAACTGAATGATCCCAGGTACGGAGGCATTGTCTAAATGAACAAAGGCTAAACAGCATGGGACTAGTGAGTACAGTTTAGCAAAATGAGCAGTGATCTCATTGAAACATACTGGATTCTTAAGGGGCTTGACAGGATAAATGCTGAGAGGATGTTTCCCTTCACGGTAGAGTCTAGGACTAGAGGGCATAGTCTCAGAATAAAGGGGAGTCAATTTAAGACTGAGAAGAGGAGGGATTTCTTCTCTCTGAGAGTGTCTTTGGAACGCCTCACCACTCAGAGCTATAGGGGCAGAGTCCTTGTGCATATTTAAGGCTGAGATAGATAGATACTTGATCAGTCAGGAAATCAAGGGTTATGGGGAAACAGCAGGAAAGGGAATGTGTGGAATGCTGGATCAGCCACGATCCTATTGAATGGGGGAGCAGGGTCAAGGGGTCGAATGGCCTGCTCATTCCTATATCTTATGTCTTATAAATCCCTCCACTCTGGATGTGACGGTCCTATATTGAGCTGGGGTTCAGTTCCACTTGCTGCCAGTTATCCTCTCATGCCTCACCCAACATAGATATGTCTTGGGTGTTGGGCATTCTTACTGCGCACGGTGGGTCAGTTTTCTAGAGGTGAGACGCCAGCACCAGAGTGGGAGGGTAGCTTATTCTCATCAACCTCCATAGTGACGCTCACCATCCCCAGCCAAGACTGAAGAAGTCTATAGTGGAGAGGGGAGGCAGTAATCAGTGTGCCTGTATGAGCATTGGAGATGAAGTTGGGGGAGAGCAGGCCAATTATTTCCGCTATTTTTGGGATATGAAAAGAAAGCGAACAATTCAAAGTGAGAAAGAAATAGAGAGAGAGGAGCAGTAATGTAGAGAGTTATGTGGCCAATACCATTGCTCATAACTCACTGTGAACTAAGCAAGAAGCAGTAGGCTATAACACAAACTTCCAAATTATTTATCCTCTGTGGTGAAGCACATTCTGCGATGAAATCTTAAGGACCACATATGAGGTTAAATCCAGCTCCCTGTTAACTTTCGAGTACCTCAACGTGCTGAGGAGTGTAAATGTTCTGAACCACCAGCAAGTCAACAGTGCAAGGGACAGTCCTTTTCACATCTGGAGACCAAAAACAGTCAAAGGGGACAAACCAACAAATAGGACCGAGATACTCAGGCTTTGTCAGCTGACTGGTAGTGTCCATACCTCTGGACCAAAGGGCCTGGGTTCAAGTCCCACCTACTCCAAAGGTGTGTAATAACATCACTGAACAGGTCAATTGGAGAAAAACACCTACAAGCTCCAGAGAAATGAGGTGACGGATTTTCCTGAAGTACTCCCCCCCTCAACTGTGACTCATCAACATTGCAATGTATTTAGCCCTCTTACTTTACATATGGCCGTAGTAGTCTGAAAACGCCTAATCGCATCCGATATCGGCAGCTAAGCAATCTCAGGCCTGATTAGTACTTGGATGGGAATATGAGGTGCAGTAAATAAAATGATGGTTCCTGTTTGCTAGGGCTTGTGACCACAAAGGGTCAAGTCGTCGTAGTCTTACTAGACCACAGAGCCTTTCTCTCGTTAGAGAGAGAAGACTGGTGGTGGTTTAACCTGAGGGTCACCACGCCTCAGGAGAGGGAAGAGGTTGAGGAGGCAAAATCCTTCATGGTAACCTCAGCATGGGTTCAATTCTGTTATCAGCTGATGGCATCACTCTGCATGGCAAACCAGACTCATAAAGCTCCGTCTGCCATACAAGTAGCTTACTCCTCTTATGACAATCCTGCTCTTCAATTACGTGGTTGTTTCATCATAAAACTCAAGTTGGCTGAATGTAAAAATAAATAAAATGAGAGACATAATCTTTGTTACTGGTAAAATGTCTGATTACGACTGCAACACCCGCATCATAAATGGATTAGCAGTAAATGCTTCATTCTGCGGATGTAATTTACTAGGGGTTGGGCAACAGAGACATAATCAGCTTTTACTTGAAATACAAGCAGCAAAGAATCACTATCATAGGTGGCTGGTCAGAGTTCAGCTTTATCTCTTCTCAAATTAAAAATTCACCTCGGAGCTGAGAAAATAAATGAGCAATTCAGTTAAACTCAGCCAAACTTGACTCACCCATCTCAATGTGAGTCAGCCCTAAAGTAACTTAATGCAGTCAGTAATCAGCACTGTGTTAGTGCTTATTTGCAATAATTTACAGAAACAGAATGAGCTGGAGATAAGGTGGCAACTCCTACTACTGTAGCGTTAGCAAATGCCACCTCAAGATCATTTCCTTTCAGATTTAAACTTGACCACAGACAGTTCAATCAAATGATTTCTGGAATAAGATGGTTATTTTAGGCTAAAGGATTTGGGTCTGTAAGCAGTGGAGTTTACAAGAACCAGCGATGGTCTTATTGAAGCATAAAAGATCCTCACAGTACACTTCAGGGTGGGCACTGAAAGGATGTTTCCCCTTGTGGGAGATAGTAAAGTTAGCAGACAGTTTAAAAATAAAAGGGCCACCCACTGAAGACAGAGATAAGGAGGAATTCTTTTCTTTCAGAGGGTCACAGGTCTGTGGAACAAAAACAAAGTTGCTGGAAAAGCTCAGCAGGTCTGGCAGCATCTGTGAAGGAGAAAACAGAGTTAACGTTTCAGGTTCGGTGACCCTTCCTCTGAGTCAAAGGCTGTCAGGGGTAGACAGGAAGTGGAGTTGAGCCCAAAATTAAATCAGCTTGTTGAATGGCAAAGCAGACTTGAAGGGCTGAGTGGTCTACTCCTGCTCCTAATTTGAATGTATGTACCTTTAATGGAGTATATTCTCCTCAATTTGGAACTGAGGCACACAAGACAATAGCTAATCTGTGAGGATTTTAGCAACGGTTAGAGAGAACTGCAACTGCTCTGTGTCTTTGTGCTATTGATCAGAGAAGAAGGCATGGATGTGATGCAGGATAGTCCCCATCAAGAGAAAAGCTAAAAAAAAGCAAGTGCAGAACCTAGCTATTTAGCCTGCAAGCAATGCAGCAGATCAATTCAAAACTGCCCAATTCTCATTTGGATGAGGCAGTACCCTATATCTCTACTAAACTGTACAACTGAATGAGAGACAGGGATTACAACCACCAAAAGAGATGCTCAAATCCCACAGAGCAAATAAAATTGGGATAGTAAGAACTGCCGATGCTGGAGTCAGAGATAACACAGTGTAGAGCTGGAGGAACACAGCAGATCAGGCAGCATCAGAGGAGCAGGAAAGCTGACATTTTGGGCTGGGACCCTTCTTCAGATTTGAAGAAGGGTCCCGACCCGAAATGTCAGCTTTCCTGCTCCTCTGCTGCTGCCTGACCTGCTGTGCTCCTCCAGCTCCACACTGTTATCTCTAAATAAAATTGGGTTCCACTTTGCTTCTGCTCTGGTTATGTCAGCGTCACAAACTAATATCCACATTCTGCCATTTCCTGAGAAAGCTGGAGGTGACACGGTAATGTCACTGGGCTAGCAATCCAGAAGCACGATTAGTGCTCAGGGGACATGGACTCAATTCCTGTCATGATGGTTTATGGAATTTGAATTCAATTAATACAATCTGGAATGTAAAATTAGTCTCAGTTATGGTGACCATGGAAACTATCAATTGTTACAAAAACACATTTGGGTCACTAATGGTCTTTAAGGAAGGAAGTGGGTCATTCTTACATACAAGTAACTCCAGACCCACAAGCAATGTGGTTGACTCTAAAATGCCCCCTGAAATGGCCCTGGCGAGCTGATCTGCTCAAGGGCAACAAATTCTGATCTTACCAGTGATGCCCACAACCATGAAGGAATAGAAATCATTTAAATTATGTGCTGAAATAGAGGACTTGAAAATGAAAGTTTTAAAATCTGAAGTTGGGTCTTGAAGATTTCAAGTGTTGGGGCCGTGTATTTCCTTTGGCAGCTTATGGGATTGCTTCCGTGAAGAACGATCATTGGCATACTTAGAAACAAATGGCCCTCTGTAGTTTTCGCAGATTCGCATTTTGTCATTGCTGGAAGGCAGCGGGTAATCGTTTCCGCCTCTTTCCTGCAGCCCCAGGACAATATTTGCAGAATTTACCTCTGGTCCACTTGTTTCTGCAGCTCCTTGTTCAGATCTTCAATTTTCTGCTGCAGTTTCTTTCGACGTTGCTCAGGGGGGAGGTGACTAAAGTCCTCGAACACAATGAGCTGCGAGGAACAAATCTGGGTTAGCAAGAGATCAGGTCACACAAGATGGTTACAAACTACAGCAACATTATCACACATTTATGAAAAACATGATTTGGTTATAGGGAAATGATAACGTAACTACATGGGAGGAGGCCATTCAGCCTACTGTATCCAGGTTAATCCGCTCCAACAGTAACTCAGCAGGTGCCACTTCCTGAAACTTCCCATTGCTTTGCAAATCCGCTCTTCAGGCACTTGTCCAATTGCCTTTTGAAAGCTACAATTGTATTTGCCCTCGTCCCACTCCCAGGCAGTGCATTCCACATTCTGAGCAGAGCAAAGGAATTTTCTCCTGTCGTTTCTTTTTGGAAATCATTTAAAAAAAATCACTGTTCTCCAATTTTTGACCGTTCTGCTAATACAAAGTATTTCCATCCCTACCCACCCTATCCAGACCCCTCATAATTTTGAGCAACACAACTAAATTGCCTCTCAAAAGAGAGCAGCCCCAGCGTCTCCAATCATTCCAGGGAAATAAAGAACTTTCTCCCTGGAATCGTTCTCTTCAGTTGTTTCTGCATCCTTCCTAAAGCCTTCACATTGTTTCTAAATACAGCGCCCAGAACTGGACACAATACTTCAGCTGAGGCCAAACTAGAGTTTTACAAAAAAGTTTAAATCCCTTTTATCTGGTCAAATCCTGTCACGCTGTTCAATTTAAACAATTTTCTTTTGCTCAGGTTAACTCTGGTCAAAACATGCTAACTTAATTATTTAATCTTCATGGTTACCCCTGATGATATTTTTTCCTGAAAATTAGCATCAGGCAGCATTTTTAAAAAAAAGTTTGAACCTCCATTATAATGTTGTATTCAGAGCACTGATAAATTTTCAAAGCAGCAACCTGCTCCAACCCCCTTCACCACGTCAGATATGAGAACAGCCTCCACTTTAGGAAACTTTCATCGACTGAAAAAGAGTCAAGGCTTGAGGGGTAGAATGGCTGAATGCTGTCCCTAATTTCTAAGCCCGTATGGCGACACTGGGGCGAGATGGGCTTGGGTCAGAGGAACAAGCAGCTCATGGGAGATCCAGGCTTAAGGAACATTCAGTGACAGAGCAAGGGAAACCACACAAGATTTTTTTTAAAAATCAGAACACTGGAGTGGGGGTGGGGGGGGTGGATGGTGTCAGTGTTGGTGAGAGAGGACTGGGTGACAGGTTGAGTAAGACTCAAGGGCAGTGGAGGAAGGCCTAGAGGAACAACACCTCATCTTCTTCCAAAGGTACAGCACAGCCCTCAGGACTCAGCACTGAATTGAACAATTTCAGAACGTGAAAGCCTTCCTCCATGCTGGTTAGCGAACCCCACGCTCCCAGATCTTGTTCTGTATCGAGTTCTCTCAGCACAGCCAACCCATTTTCAATATCCCATTAGCACCCATTCAGCATCTCTCTCTCTCGCTCTCTCTCTCCTGGCTTTTCTGTACATCTTCTTTCTCAGGGCACCATCCCCATTCATTCAACTCACTCTCACCCTGCTGTTACCCCTTTTCAAACCCTGCACCCTGCCATCAGCATAAAACACCACCATTTCCCAGCTGCTTTCAGTTCTGACCAAGGGTCAATGGATTTGAGACGTTAGCTTGGTTTTTCTTTCCACAGATGCTCCAGACCTGCTGAGTTTCTCCAGCGATTTCTGTTTTTGTTTCAGAACTCCAGCATGCACAGTTCTTTGTTTTATTATGGAAGGGCAGTGCATGTGGATGAACTGGTCTATGGGGGGTGAAGCATGAGAGAGCATTTACGAGAATCTAGGACTACTGGACATTGTTGGTCAGTCTATCCCAATACTTCTGCCACTCGCAGGAGAAGAACTGATGTGCATCCAGCGGGAGACTATAATCAAATCACTAGGGACCTGTAGCAGGCCAGTCAACTAGGTCCCAGTTCCAGACTCATCTGAAATAATCAGTGGCCATATCAAGAAAACCCTGCCAGAGACAAAAGAAAAATCCTGACTATTAGAAAGCTGGTGCCCAGCTGCAAAAAGGCTCATGATAAAGAGGCTCTCGCAGAAGGAAATGAAAGCATATTGAAGTATTTTAGTTGCTGCACCATAACAGAGTGCTGTGCAGTGAATAATGCTGATACTAAAACTCTTTTAGCAGAGTCAGCATTTCAGACCCAGTGACCCTTCATTAGAACACTGGACCCAAAACGTGGACTGTTTTCTGTCCACATTTGCTACCAGAGATAGTAGGAACTGCAGATGCTGGAGAATCCGAGACAACAAGGTGCAGGGCTGGATGAACACAGCAGGCCAAGCAGCATCATAGGAGCAGAGAGGCTGACGTTTCGGGC